TGTCGCTAGGTCTCTCCCAGCTTGTGAAGGGCGCTACACGTGTACTCGATATTGATAGCCACACACCAAACTGCCTGGACCTTCTGCTGTCAACAGACCCGGACCGTTACCAGGTGGTAATTTCGTCTCCTCTAGGGAGTTCCGACCACTGTCTGGTGAAGTCCGTATCAGTCTACTCTCCAAGCGACCCGGAACCTATAGGAACTAGGCGTGTTTGGCGATATGGTTCAGCAGACTGGAATGAGATGCGGCATTTCTTAGCATCTTATCCTTGGCGTCGCACCTGCTTTTCTTCGGACGACCCGACTTGCTGCGCGGATGCCATTGCTGACGTGGTGCGTCAGGCTATGGAGTATTTTATTCCATATTCTGACGAACCACGCCGGTTTAGCGCCCGCCCTTGGTTTGACGCGGACTGTGCTAAAGCAGAGGCGCTTAAGAATTTTGCGTATCGCTCCTGGGCGGATGCTCGAGCCCGCAAATCACCAAATGTTCGAAGTCTGAAGAAGGCCTTTAACAGTGCCGCCAAGTCCTGTAAAGGTGTTCTCCGCAAGGCCCGCTTCGATGACATTGGCCGTATAGGAGCCAAATTAGCCTCCTTTCCATCCGGAAGCAAGGCTTTCTGGTCCCTAGCCAAAACAGTCGAAGCCAATTTTTGCCGGTCGTCGCTGCCGCCTTTAATTAAGCCTGACGGATCGCTGGCTCACACCTCCAAAGAGAACGCTGACTTGTTTGCCTCTATATTTGCGAACAACTCACAGCTAGATGCTGCTGGCGTAAACCCTCCTAAGCTTCCTCAGTGTTCTTCTGCCATGTTGGAAGTTCGCATCCATCAGAAAGAGGTACTAAAAACGCTAAGCACTCTAGACGTGAATAAAGCCAGTGGGCCCGATGGCATTCCAGCTATTGTCCTGCGGAATTGTGCCCCTGAGTTGTCTCCTATTCTGACTCGCCTGTATCGCTTATCCCTTGAGATTGGCCTAGTTCCGAAAACCTGGAAGCTTGCCAATGTCCAACCAGTGCCCAAAAAGGGTAGTCGTGCCGACCCTGCCAACTATCGACCTATTGCAATCACCTCCATACTCTGTAAGATTATGGAGCGTGTATTGAACAACCGTCTCCTCGCTTACCTCGAAGATAACGATCTCCTCAGTGACTGCCAATTCGGTTTCCGCCGTGGGCGATCTACTGGGGATCTTCTTGTGTATGCTACCCACTTATGGAGTGAAGCCATAGAGAAACGCGGCGAAGCTCTCGCCGTTTCTCTTGATATTTCTAAGGCTTTTGACAGGGTCTGGCATGCAAGTCTCATTGGCAAGCTTCCTTCATATGGAATCGCTGTCGGACTTTGCAAATGGATTGCAGATTTTCTGAGGGGCAGATCGATACGAGTGGTCATTAATGGCACATCGTCGGATCTGCTTGGTATAAATGCCGGTGTCCCCCAGGGATCTGTCCTCTCCGCAACTCTATTCTTGCTGCACATCAATGATCTGCTCCTAACTCCTGGTATCTTTGGGTATGCAGATGACAGCACAGTTTCGGGGAGATATCTGCCTGATGTGAAGTCTGATGCAGATGTCCGATCATTAAGGGAGGCGATGGTGGAGGGAGTGAATGCAACCCTGGAAGCTGTTTCCCTCTGGGGTGAAGCCAACTTCTCTTCTCGACGAAACGGAGTCCATTCCATCTGACTCCGACTTTCCGAAATGTCTCCGTGCCGGTTAAAGACCATCTCGAGCTCTTGGGTATGGACATCTCATCCAGCCTCAATTTCGGTCGCTACATCGAGTCCATTGCTAAAACCGCTGCCAGAAAACTTGGAATACTTTCTAAGGTCAGGCGATATTTTACATCTGAGCAACTCCTTAACCTTTACCGAGCCCAAGTTCGCTCCTGCTTGGAGTACTGTTGTCACCTTTGGGACGGATCTGCTCGGTATCAGCTGGATGCACTGAACTCGGTGGAACACCGTGCGAAGAGACTCATAGGCAATGACGCTCTCGTTGAGGCTAATCTTCAGAGCCTTGACCACCGAAGACGTGTAGCTTGCCTTTCGGTGTTTTATCGGTTACATTTCGGAGAGTGTGCGGAGGTATTACATAATTTGATCCCCCTTCCCCTTTCCACCACCGGACGACCAGGCGCGGCGAGGGCTTCCACCCTTATGTTGTCGAAGTTCCTCCCATTCGCACGAAGCGATTTGCTTCGGCCTTCATTATACGAACGGCTGGGGAGTGGAACTCCTTGCCGAGGTCTGTTTTCCCGGACCAATATAACCTGGACATCTTCAAGGCCAGAGTGAACAGGCATCTTCTAGGCAGGCGTGTACCATCCTAGGCCTCATCATCGCTTTCCATCAGGTGAGATTGTGGTCAAACGCATTGCCTATTTAGCATAAAAAAAAATATCGCCCACTGACTTGTGCAAGCAAATTTAACAGGTAAAATATAATTAAATTAAGTTAAATGCTAAGTTTATTTATTATTAATAAATTTATTCATCGTTTATAAATTTATTAATAGAATAATACGCTTTTTTTTATAAAATGCTCATAACATATGCATTTTTTATTTAATGATGATGATGATGATTACATACTCTTTTTTATTATTAAATACTCGTGATATTTCGTTTAGGCCACGGAGCAACTTCACGCCCGCATTCACGCCGCGGCTCGACAGCAAATGCCGGCACCCGCCGCCGCCGACCTCATCGATGACGCCGACTTACTTCTAGACGACCGAGAGCTCGACGCCGACCTTACTGGTGAGTTCCCTTCAATTCCGTCGGCCTAGGCACCAGTACCCCGACGACGGAATCACCAAACACTACACAGCTAGCACACTTGCACACTAGCTTAGCACTAGGCAGACACCGCACCCGTAGGATAAGAATGCGAAGACCCAGTCTACACACGACACGCTATACCAGGTACAGGTACGTGTCTGGGCGTATTGCCCCGCCCCCACGACAACGGCTAACTAGAGACGAGGTCCGAGTCACAGAGACGCCCTCTAGTTGAGCCCACCCCCTCAAGTTCGAGTGGTCTAGAGGCTCCAGACGGAGAGGAGACTCCCTCCGTGGGAAGATGCCATCTGCCTGGAATACCTCTAGAGTCACTCGCCAATTCTCGGTTTGAGGTCCCCTTAGGATCTCGCCGTCCCCAAACCCGGTGACGCTGTAAAGGTCATCTGCGACCAACAGGAAACACACTCAAAAAAACAAAACGGGTAGTATACATTCAGTACCCCAAGGGCATAAGAGAGGTAGGGCATAGCGGATTTCCCGCTCAAATTCGAGCTCCCGTCCGGGGAAGTAACCCCCGCCTTACAGAAGATCACAGTAAAATAACGCTACCTTTTGGTGGTGTTGCGTGTCTGTCGGTGAATAAGGTTCCAGGGCTCCACGGGGTAGGCGATGGGGTTAGGGTAGAGGAGGCTTTTAACATAAAAATGTAGGTACCCCAAGCACGAATAACTAGCTATAAAGTATTCGAACCGTTGTGTCATCCAAGTTTCTATGGAAAAAGCTAGTTTGTTGTTACGTCTCGTAGGGACGCTGCTTAGTTTCCATAAAAAAAAATAAGTTTATTTTCGTAACAAACAGTTGCGACTGCATATGATAGAATCGCTATTTCAACACCGATCTTGAAAACGCCTCATATTTTTTTATTAGCAATGCGACAATTTATGCCTTTTGCGGATGTAAAATTTCAGGCGCATACACGAGAATCACATCGTGGATTCACATTAAAATATTAGTTTAATGAAAACAGACTTAAGTAAATAAGGGGCAAATGATACTTTGATTTGATAACACATTAAAAGATAACACTTTGTTTTTATTATGAGTTACACTGAGCATCACCGGCAAAATTTTGTTTTAGACACTCAGCCATTTTGCCAATAAAAAATCAATAGGCGCATAAATTTTTTAATGAAGTTTAGTTATTTTAATTCTTTGTTTGATTCTGTTGGATGTTGATGATGAACAAGTAGAAGTACGCTGCAACGATTCTCATCCTGTATCAAAGGAAAATAACACTACTTTTTTTTGGTGTTGTGTTTCTGTCTGAGCAAGGCTCCACGGCGTAAGGGATTGGGTCAGGGTAGGCAACGGTGTGTGTGATATTTTTGGTATTGCAAGCTTCTCTACTACAAGTTAGGGTGACAGCTAACGATCGCTACGAACACATACGCTTGTTTACCTTAAAAAAACCTTGTTATTATGAAACCACTTAACAAAAAAATCACGCAGCAGTTGCACGGATAAAGTGTAACTGTTATTGCTAAATTACGTTCTGCAACTCTTAGATACGAGCATAGAAGATATTACCCCGTTGAGCTTTGTATGGCGGTAACAAAACAACATCAACATTTCTCCGTGTCTGCCAGAGAAGTAGACTCGCTAAGATTTTTTATCTTATCACAAAACTTTCGCTAGTTTTTGGCATCCAAAGGACCCAGTTAAAAAACCAGCGTCAGTACACACCATGCAAACTGCCACAATGCTCAACTAGGCCCTGCTCGTAATATTTAGCCTAAATTACATTATTAACAGAAAACTGACTGCAACAGATGCTTACAGGTTAGCTTCGCATGCATTAGAAGGACATTTATTTGTTTTAAGATAAAACACAATTATTAAATAACTTTAAAAAAAATTGTTCGCACTGACCACACATCAGAAGTGAGACTTCTTTTCTTAAATTACCTAACATTAGACGGTGCATAAGGCATAGGGGAATGGAGCAGCGCACGCATCAATCATATATATGTACATGTATATTTATATTGTAACGTGTGACGCTCGTGACGCATTTCCGTTTCATCTTTTCCATAGGATTTTTCCATTTACACGCCGCCCAAAAAGATGTTTCACTTCCAAAATAGATTGTCAAATTGCATTAAAATATTTGATTATATATGGATATATATGTTTTTGATTTGATCGAAACGTCCCCCCTACCCCCAGGGCCAGTGAACATTAGCACGAAGGCGCGCCTGGTGGCTCCAGGACTGGTTGCGCCAGGGACCGTGTCGCTCACCTCCACGGAGCTCTACTTCGAGGTGGACGACGAAGACCCCGAGTACAAGAAGATCGACCCTGAGGTGAGTACCAAACTGGCTAACTACGTGTATTTTTATTATGTAAGATCAACGATATTTTTAGCATCGCATCTCTCACTTATTTGTCGGTCCTTTACTAGTTTAGAATTTCTTTTTGGAACTTGCGGTAAGCGTTGCTGGTGTCACAATTATACATAAAATGTATTACGTACTAGTTATTTAAAATGTATTTTGTCATTGTTTGTTTAGCTAAGAAATAAATAAAAAAAATATATGTTAAAAACTCTAGATAGGCACCACATCACGAACGAACGAATCCTGTCTAAAAAGGTACGATCGGCCAATTCAAAACAGTAAGGTAGATTAGATTTTTGCTTAAATTTACGTATCCCTGGTTATCATACTTGGTATTTTCTGAACAATTATATCTGACGTGACAGATTTTGACGACTTCCTGTGACATGATTTTGACATTAAATTATTTGAAGTTGTGCCCATGGACTTAGGATTTCCCTGTTAATTTACCAACGTTTTTTATAATGTCAAGAAATCGAAAGAGCTTCTGTTTGCATTTACGATTTTGAAAGGGTTCAAAATACTTTTCCAATTTGATATTTAACATAATCTGTTGCATCGAAAATAAAAGTTAAATTTTAAATATCTTTGATAACACAGTTTTTTTGTTATTAGAAGGTCCTGAATGCAATTACACGTTTTGTTTTTAAGAAAACTTATCTGTTATGACATTTTTAAGCGAATGAGAATCATTTCGAAGTCAACAAATCAACTCAAAACCATCATAATAGTATTTCAATAAGTTTTTTCATCAATATATTTAACTTTGTGCTATTACATTAACAGTTACTTTAAAGGAACCAATAAGAATGAAAGAAAGAAATGTAGGGCTTGTCATAGGTGACGTTGTCTTATTATCATCCTGTCGCAAGTACATTAGTTTTAATCAAATTTAAAATATAATTGACGTGTTTAAATGTGGCCGTAATTTACAGATTATAAGACACAAGATCTTCAATTTATTACATCTAGGCCCATTCAGCATAATTTTACAGGGCCATTTAGTTGCCAATACAATGCGGTTAATGTACATAATGGTCAGTTACTACAGTGTGTAGACGTCGAAGTCATTGCATGTCATTAGTGATGTGGCGATCAAAGTTGCTATCCACGCAGACGAATTAAGCCTAAATCACTATTGATTTGAGGGTGAATAAAATCAATGTGTGCCTTACATACATAACCAACATCCATTCTCATGTGGCCCTTTATGATCAAGTTGATATATAATATACCTTTGTTTCCTAAATTAAGAAAGGAGATTGTAATACAAATTGCATAACAATAGGTACTTATTGATACGCGACATTATCACTCCCCTGAATCCTAAATGTTAATTCTACATTAACAATAGCTTAAACATAAATCACACATTTTATTGCTTTATGAATAAAGTTTTGCTCCCTGAACTATTAAATAAATATTATAAATATTCACAAAGGCGAGACAATCTCGTGACAAAACGAAGCACAAATAAGGTGCGACGTGCGGTCTTTGTCCGATAATTTATTACAATTTTTGGATATTCAAGAAGTTGTAAAAGGAAAATTATATCATTTCGCATTCTAAACGTAGCGCCCAAACAACCAATGAGGTCTTTACTTGAGAACAGACTTTGTGCTCTTTTAAATAAAGTTTATATTTGCATATGATTGGGTGGGCTATAATGATGTTCGTAAATGAGATGCCTGGTGTTATCGATGCAGCGTACAGGCGCTTGATAAGGGCGGGTAACCGAATATGAGGCACTTAAGTGCACGAACAATGCAGCCCCGCGGCGCGTGGGCCTGACAGGCGCCACGCTAGTGTTGTCCACAAATGTGGATAATTAGTGAATTATCGATATTATTTCTATGTACTAACTTTATGAAAATTACTTTAACATATTATATTTCTCTAATCGACTTCAAAGAAAGATTAAACATGGATAATAAGTAAATTATCGATATTATTAAATAAAACTATTTTCATCGTCAGAATAATTCTGACGATGCAGACCTGAAAAGGCTGCGAAACGTCAATAAATAAATAAAGTTTCGTGCATTAACCCGTAAAAACTAGTTTTATTTAATGAGTGATGTGCGTGAAAACCTAAGAAACAAATATATCGACATTATTTCTACGTATTCACTTTATGAAAATTATTATACCATATTATATTTCTCTAACCGACTTCAAAGAAAGGTTACATTGCCCTCTAATCGTTGGCTTATTGCTTGAACTTACTTGAAGTGACTAATATCAAACGATGAGAAATCAATTTATATATAAGGAGCTGGCGAACAAAACGCTATAATTACGCATCTGGTCAAAATAATTTATTTTTACATTCCAGATGTTTTGGGCTTATGTTCAATCAAAACCGCCTAAAATAGTGTTAAAATTACTTTATTAAAAACCACGCCAAAAGCTCACTGTAGGTGTGTCCTTCAGTTTTTTACTGCTCATCTAGAGTTTAATTTTACGTTTTTTTCGCCAGCCTCATATTGAATATACGGGACCACTAACTGAGGTCTTTTTCTTCTGTTGAATGTTTTTTTTGGAAAGATTTGAGCCGTAATTAAATGTAGACTTTTATTTGTCTAAATCTCTAATGAGGGCGAATTTCAATGGATAATTTGTTGCTGACAAAAATTTACAAAGCAAAAAAAGCATACAGTCTATTACGTAGCACGTATATAAGGTAATCCTTATATACGTGCTTACTTCTTTTTCCTTCGAAATATAATTTTAACGGGACCGGTGTCCAAATGCCAATTATCGGTTAATATGACTTATTTTAATATTACATTTAAATCTAAAAATAACCTATCGATTAGTCGATAATAACCTTATCGATATGTGTGTGCTTCTCGGCGTGTGGGGCGAGTCGTCAGGTCGGACGGCGCGGCGCACAATAGCGCCCCGCCGCGCGTCCGAGCGGACAGACGCGCCCGCACCAGAACAAATGCAATACTTACACTACAGCTAGATACGTGTTATCTTGACTTTTTGTTCATATGGTATATAAATTTGCAAATATATTATGCATTAACATATAACAATACCTATAATTTTTGAAGTTATACTCCTTCATCGCTCATCGCTTCATCGGTCGCTTTAGCGACCAACTTCATGCGTTACTTTTGTGTTTACCGCACATTAAGAAAATCTACCAACAAAATAGAAATAGAATCTTTATTTAGTGGGTGCTAACGACTGCATTGTGAAGGCCTATCAAAAGTATTTATTAATCTGGAACAACGGAACCAAAGCGCGATTCAGGAGACTACAGCGCCATCTCTTGACCATTGGTGTAGTAGAACCAAAAACCACATCCTTATTTTTTGTAATAAAGTAACAGTTATAGGTATTCATATCTATATATATAAAAATGAAACCCGTTTTCCGTTGTCACGACATAACATGAAAACGGCTTGACCGATTCGGCTGATTTTTTTTTAGAATATTCCTTGAAGTACGAGGATGGTTCTTACGAAGAGAAAAATTAAAAAAATGCCTGAAAATGTCAAAAAACAAAACTTTTCTTTACTCCCATACAAACGATTCGTAATAATACTTAAAAGTCAATTTGAACTTTAATACCATACCATAAATTTCAAATGTTAGTGGAGAGATTCTGGGAAGGCAAAACAATTGAGCGAAGTGATGTCAATAGAAGTTTGGAAAAGATAAATATACCATCTTCAGTTTTTTTATAATCTATATATATAAAACTCAAAGGTGACTGACTGACGTAGTAATCTATCAACGCCCAGCCCAAACCACTGGACGGATCGGGCTGAAATTTGGCATGCAGGTAGATGTTATGATGTAGGCATCCGCTAAGAAAGGATTTTGATCAATTCTACCCCCAAGGGGATAAAATAGGGAATAGGGATGCAGGTATAAGAATAATCATAGATGAATGTCATTGTGTATAAAACAAGCCTGAGAACAAAAACTGTAGTCTACGCTTCAGCTCTACACCGAAGCGAAGCGAGGGCGGGCCGCTAGTTTATAATATTTATCCACATGTTTCTAGTTTGTATATTGGGAATACGTGTTTGAGTTTCATACAAGTGCAAATCACATATGTTCTAATAAATTATATTCAGTAGCGATTTTAATTGAATATTTTGATTATTTATTTATTTTTTCAAATTAAAACTGAACTTTATTGACTGTGTCCTTTTCCAGACTTTTTATTAATTTATTGTAATTAATTATTTGCATGCAATTAAAAACTAATTTTAAACGATGCCAAAGAAGGATAACTTCTCACGCGCCTACATAAGTACACGCTCCCATTTTTTTTTTGAGCGTCACCGGGCTGGGGGACGGCGAGATCCTAAGGGGACCTCAAGCCGAGTCAAAACCTATAAGGTAACTTTTAGGTCTTCTAATTGGAATGAAAGCTACTTATGACAATGAATATTAGTCTAACATAATCAACGGCATCAATCAATGACAGTTGTCTTTCAATAGATATTCAACCCATAATGCCTGTATGACTATATGTATGAACGAGAAATTGGTTTGATATCATAACTAGGTATGATGTATGGCTGTACTTTGCGAATATTTTCACGTGAAACTAATTTTAGCAAGTCTTGAAAGACAAAAACATCACTACTCTCTTATTAATAAAATGTTTAAATTTATTCTATCTATTTAATCCATTGAAATCCGTATAAGAAAATAGATTTGTTATTGACATTTGTAACTCAAGCAAAATTTGTATTTTGTAATATGAATAATACTTTATAATGTTCTTTTTTTAATCAATTCGCAAATCGTGCGGAAATGCATTTTATTTCGTATTGAATTGGAAATGGCGACATAAAAAGGCATGGGTATTGACTTTTCTGGTTGTATTCAAATAAAGGCATCGCGGTAAAATCGAAGCGCGTGCGCAAGTCAGCGGCGCCGGCGGCAGATTCATAAAAACTTCATATTATGGTTGAGATGATAAAACTAATGATTTTAGCATTCTATGGAGGCTGACTGATTGATTTAGTAAGTGAATGAACCGCTATTTAACGATGATATCACAAATGTATATACCAAAAATAATAATCAATTATTGGTATTACATATTGATTGGTAATCGAATTATATGCATGTGCTTGTAACAAATTAGCTTGTGATATGTTCTGGCACCCCCTTATTAATAAACAAAGAATAAGCCTGCATTAATAACTCCATGTTTTGTCTCTGTTCATTGAATGACAAATGGAATTTGGTTTTTAACAAATTATTTTTTTCTCCAAGAGAATAAATACTTGAATGAAATAATTAGCTTTAAGAAATCATAGTTTATAAAACATATTCATTGGTATATTTTGATTATTATAAAATTATCGTTGTTTCAGTACAAATCTGCTATTTATGTTATTCGCTTCAGCGTTGCGCTTGCGCCACAACGCTATTATTAAAACTGTATCCGTGGCATTATTTACTGCGACTAATTCAACCGATTTCGATGATTGTAAATTGAATTCGTAATGGGGTATTTTATTTGTTTATGCTAATGTACGGTTTTAATTAACCGTGTCTTGTTTATGACGTGTGCGAGTGGGACAGAGCACGCGCCTATTAGGTTACCGTCGCCGGCCTAAACGACAACGATTTATTGTTGCTTAAATTATAATTAAAGCGTATGATGAATCGGTCATAGTATGCTAATCGAGTTTTTGTGACAACGTTCGCTGGGTGGCACGCCGTCATATGTAGAACCTACTGTTGAATTTACATTTGATATTCAAGTTGTTTATTACCGTCCTAGCAAGTAAAACTATCTTTAGACAAAAATAAATTGAATAGCCTTAGGACTTTGTCATAGAAAGAGTTTAGGTTTACATTTCTTAATCTTTAATAATAAAAACAAGATAATATACGCGTTCTTTCGTTGTAATATTACCAAAGTTAGTAAACTTTGTGAGAATCAGAAATTACTGAAAAGTGCCATCAATACCCGTACTCGAGACACATCATGGAGAAGTTACAGTACAGGTAGGCTCTGTATTTTAAAATTCAGTTTTTTTAAACGCCCATAAGTTTTCATCATCATCAACCTATTAATGTCCCACTGCTGGGGTACAGGCCTCTCCTATGGATTGAATAGGCATATGGATTGGGTCATGACCCACCTCGCGGGCCCAGTACGGATTGGTGAGTACTAACGACTGCAGATGCAGCCGGTACCAACAGCTTAACGTGCCTTCCGAAGCACGGAGCAGCTCGAGATAATAAATTGTTGGTCACCCATCCAATGACCGACCACTGCGAAAGTTGCTTAATTTCAACGGTCCCAGCCGAACGCGCTAACCACCTGCGCCATCGAGCTTCTCACCAAACAAGATTTACTTATTTAATATGTAAACATAACATTAAACATCTAGTAGTTAAATACTTAAAAAGTATATAATTATTTAATATTCTTCATGTCTCTCTCTCTGTCAGTGTAATCTTAGTTTTGTGTCCTTTTTTTATACA